AGGCTAAGAGAAGCATTGAGGGGGATTATTTTTAAACTGAGGGGGGTTAGAGTTGAATATCACTGTGTAAAAGAGAGGATGGTTGGGTCAGAAACTCTCATAACACAACCAGTATTTAGATATTCATTTGCATTGCCAAAGCCTTCAGGGCTATGCGTCACGAGCTGGAAAACGCAATTAATAGTCAGATTTCTGTGGATTGATGCAGACACAATGGGCTGAAAGACCTTTCTCTCTACTGAGAATGTGTAAAAATAATTTGATCTCTGGATATTGGTTCTTTGCCACGCTCAGTAAATGGCATTTTCGCTAAATCAAATCATATATAGCCCTCAAGGCCGAGACAGGTTGTAATTGGACCACTCCACACAAAGAACATTATTTAACTTAAGCTCAGAGGCTGAATTATCCAGCATCAGATTTTATTAACATTAATCAGAACAGAACATCAGAAAAAATTTAACAACAGGACATGTGACAGCAGTTGCAAAGCAAAAAGACAGTCAGTACATTGATCTCCTCCGTGCCCTATCCTTGCCCTCACCCATCCTTACTGACCTTTCCCAAATCAACTGATTCACCCAACCCTATAAAACCCACTCCTTCATCAAATATAACCCAAATACCTCAATATCCTACACTCACTCGTTCACTATCCACCTCCCTCAACTCATGTCTCGAACAGTCCCGATGCCGTGCCACTAATAGAAACAGGTAACAGAGATGTGAAACTAGCCATGGCTGCAGCCAACCTCATTGGCCAAGAGTCCAAGGTCCACATTGTGTTCATAGTTTGCGCTTCTTCCACTCAGGCTCATCATCCTCCACCTCTTCCTCGGCCTCTGGGGTTGCAAACACGGCATGTGGCTGGGTTCTGAAATCCAAAATGAGAGAATGAGGGTGAGGACAGCACAGAGGACAAAGGTGGGGCCAGAAAACGAGTGAAGGTGCAGACGGAGAGGTTAACAACAAGAGTGAAGGAAGCACAGCGCACGTGAAATCTGGAACACTATCTGAAAGGTGTTCGAAGTGAAACACAAGACCATAACAAATAGGAACAGGAGTAGCCATCGAGCCTGTTTTGCCGTTCAATATAATCATGGCTGACCTTTTACATGAAATCCACATTCCTGCCCTCTCCCCACAGCTCTCGATTCCCTAAAAGGCCAAAAATCTACTGTGCATTTATGGTCATCAATGGAGAATCCAAAGCTTAATGAGGCAGAGAATTCCAAATGCCACAGACATTGATCATTATCAGATGGTAGGTGATGGCCAAATGGTATTATTGCTAGACAATTAATCCAGAGACTCAGATAACGTTCTGGGGACCTGCTTTCAAAATCCTGCAGATGGCGGAATTTGAATTCAATAATAATCTGGAAATAAGAGCTTAATGATGACCATGAAACCATTGCCAATTGTCACGAAAAGCCCATCTAGTTCACTTCTGTCCCTTTAGGGGAGGAAACCTGCCACCCTTACTTGGTCTGGCCTACATGTGACTCCAGACCCACAGTAACCTGAAGAAGTGTGAAATGATACATTTGGGAGGCTAAATAAGGCAAAGGAATCCACAATTAATGAGAGAGTACTGAGAAGTGTACAGGAAGTGAGGGACCTTCCGGTGAATGTCCACAGATCCCTGAAGGTAGCACGACAGGTGGATAAATTGATTAAGAAGGCACATACAATCCTTTACAAAAACTGAAGAATTCCGGATGCTGGAAATCAGAAACAAAAACAGATATTGATGGAAAAGCTCAGCAGGTTTGGCAGCTTCTGCGAAGAGTAATCAAAGTTAATGTTTAGGGTCCAGTGACCCTTCCTCAGAACAGAATCTTTTATATTAGCTGAGGTGTAGAATGTATGAGCAGGGAGATTATGCTAGAACATTTTCCCCTCATGGGAGAGTCCAGGACAAGTCCGCATAGTCTTAGCGGAAAAGGACACTAATTTAAGACAGAGATAAACAGGAATTTCTTCGCCCAGTGTTTATTTAAGGCTGAGATAGATTCTTGATCAATTGGGGATTCAAAGGTTAAGGGGAAAAGGCAGGAAGGTGGAGATTAGGAATGTTGAATCAGCCACGATCCTATTAAATAGCAGAGCAGGTTCGAGGGGTTGAACTGTCTACTGCCATTCATATTTGTTATGGTCACCCCAAAACAGAAAGGACGGAGGAGATTAATTGGCTTCATGAGCCTGCTCTGCCATTAAATAAGATTATGGCTGCTCTGGTTACTCCATGCTCCAACCTACTCTCAAAATAATGGAATATCAGGTGTATATTCAGATACCCTTTTAATTATTTTCTGCCTCTACTATCCTTTCAGGCTTCTGAAGAGCCATAAAAAGCGAGCTGCGAATGCTATAAATCAGAAACAAAAACAGAAATTGCTGAAAAATCTCAGCAGGTTTGGCAGCATCTCCGAAGAGAAATCAGAGTTAATGTTTCGGGTATGGTGACCCAGCAACATTGCAGAAATAGAAATATATTTCCAAGCCAGGACAGTGAGTGGCTTGGAGGGGAACTTGCAGGCAGTGGTGTTCCCATGTATTGCCAACCTTGTCATTGTAGCTGGAAGTGATTGTAGGCTTGGAAAGTGCTGTCTAAGGAGCCTTGGCGAATTTCTGCAATGCATCTTGTCGATAATGCATACTGCTACCACTGAACATCAGTGGTGGAGGGAATGAATATTTGTCGGATGTGGTATTAATCAAGAGGACTGCTGTTGTCTCTGATGGTGTCAAGCTTCTTAAGTGTTATTTATTCTTCATTTATTAAGGCAACTGGAGACTATTGCATCACACTTCTGACTTGTGCCTTGTAGATGGTGGATAGGCAGGATCAGAAATATAGTAAGGAGGAACACAACAGGCCAGGCAGCATCAGAGGAACAGGAAAGTTGACATTTTGGGTCAGGACCCTTCATCAGGACTTGGGTGGGAGGGGTCTCAGAAATAAACGGAGGGGGGATAGGGCTAGGCAAAAACAGATGGGGTGGTAATAGGTGGATGCAGGTAGGGGGTTGTGGAGATTGGTCAATGGGGAGGGTGAGGAAGATAGGTGAGAAGGAAGATGGACAGGTTGTAGGGAGAGCTGGACATGGGATGAGGCGGGGGTGGGGAGATTTTGAAGCTAGTGGATTCTATGTTGAGGCCATTAGACTTTAAGCTTCCGAGGCAGAATATGAGGTGCTGTTCCTCCAACTTTTGTCTGGTCTCGTTATGACATTGGAGGAGGCCTAGGATGGACATGTCACAAGGGAGTGGGAAGGTGAGTTCAAATGGCTGGCAATCAAGGTGGTGTAGATTGGAGCGTACAGATTGCAGATGCTCTGCAAATCTATCACCAAGTCTGTGCTTAGTCTCTCCGATATAGAGGAGACCAAATTGGATGCAATGGATGCAGTACACCAGGTTGGAAGATGTGCAGGTGAATCCCTGTCAGATACAGAATGCTTGTTTGGGGCCTCGGACGGAGGTAAAAGGGGAGGTGTAGCACCTCCCGCAGTTGCAGGGAAAGGTGCCAGTTGGGGTCGGATCCGTGGGGTGTGTGGAGCAGACAAAGGAGTTGTGGACAGAGCAGTCCCTACGGAAAGCAGATGGGTTGGGAGGGGAATTTCTCCTTGGTCATGGGGTCTGATTGCAGGTGACAAAAGTGGCGGAGGATAATCACTTTTCCCTAAAACCCTAAAGGTCACAGCAGCTACACTGGGTCTGCAGCAGGTAGTGAGAGAATTAGTAAGAGTGAAAAATTTATTTGACCTCAGCCTCATTAATGTGCCTACTCCATGACAGTATCAGTAAGAGTGACCACCACACAGTCCTGGGCAATTGAAGACATGCCTTCACATTAAGAATACCCTCTATTGTGTTGTGTGACACTATCACTGTGCTAAATGGGACAGACTTTGAACAGATCTACCAACTCCAGACTGGGCATCCATGTGGGCCATCAGAAGTGCACTCTAAAACAATCAGGCATGAATGGTCCTCACAAATAAACAAGTCACCGGAGGAGGTGGCTCCACAAGTATCCCCATCGTCAATGATAGTAGAGCCACTGTAAAGGATAAGACTGAAGCATTCACCACAATCTTCAGCCAGAACTGCTGGGTGAATGAGCCATCTCAGCCTCCTGCAGCAGTCCCCAGCAACACAAATACCTGCCTTCATCCAAATTGGTTCACTCCATGTGATATCAAGAAACAGCTGGAGACACTAGATACTGCAGAGGCTATGGGTCCTAACAACATCCTGGCAATAGTACTGAAGACTTGCGCTCCAGAACTTGCTGCACCCTAGCCAAGCTGTTCCAGTACAGCTACAAAGCTGGAATCTACCCAACATTGTGGAAAGTTGCCCAAGTATGTCCTGTACACAAAAAGCAGGATAAAGCCGAAAATGGCTCCATCAGTCTACTCTTAACTGTCAGTACAGAGATGGGAGGTGCCATCAACAGTGCTATCAAGCAGTAATTACTCAGCAATAACCTGCTCAGTGACGCCCAGTGTGGGTTCTGTCAGGGCCACTCAGCCCCTGATGTCATTACAGCCTTGGTTCAAACATCGATGAAACAGGTGAATTCAAGAGATGAGGTGAGAGTGACAGCCCTTGACATCAAAGCCACATTTGATTGATCAAGGAGCCCAAGCAAAACTGGAATCAATGGGTATATGGAGGCAAACCTGGCACATAGGAAGATGGTTGTGCTCGTTGGAGGTCAGTCGTCTCAGCTCCAGGACATCTCTACAGAAGTTCCTCAATATAGTATCCTAGGCGCAACCATCTTCAACGTCAATGACCTTCCCTCCATCAAGTGGGGGTGTTTGCCAATGACTGCACAACATTTAGCACCATTTGCAACTCCTCAGATACTGAAGCTGTCCATGTTCAAATGCAACATCCAGTGTTGGGCTGACGAGTGGCAAGTAACATGCGCCCCACACAAATGCCAGGCAAAGGCCATCTTCAATATGAGACAATCTAATCACCATGCCTTGACTGTCAATGGAGTTTCCTTCACTGAATCCATCACAATCAACATTCTGGAGATTACCATTGACCAGAAACTCAGCTGAACTCACCATACAAATACAGTGACTACAGGAGCAGGACAGAGGCTAGGAATATTGCAGCAAGTAATTCACTTCCTGTCCACCATCTACAAGGAACAAGTCAGGAGTGTGATGGAATAGCCCCTCACTTGCCTGGATGAGTGCAAACCCAACAACACTGAAGAAGCTTGACACCATCCAAGACAAAGCAGCCCACTTGATTGGCACCATATCCACAAGCATCCACTCCCTCCACCACCGACGCTCAGTAGCAGCAATGTGTACTATCTACAAGATGCATTGCAGAAATTCACCAAAGGTCCTCAGACAGCACCTTCCAAACCCACGACCACTTCCACGTAGGAGGACAATGGCAGCAGAAATATGGGAACACCATTACCTGCAAACTCGCCTCCAAGCCATTCACCATCCTGACTTAGAAATATATTCCCATTCCTACACTGTTGCTGGGTCAAAATCCTGGAATTCCCTCCCTATCGACATTGTGGGTCAATCTAAAGCACATGGACTGCAGCTCACCACTACCTTCTCAACAGCAACTAAAGACGGGCAATAAGATGCTGGCCAGTCAGCCATACCTACATCCCATGAGTGAAAAATCAACTGTGAATGCTGGAGATCTGAAACAAATACAGAAATTTAGGTCCAGTGACTTTTCATCAAAACACATGAAAAGTCAACTGACTTGAAATGCTAACTCTGCTTTCTCCCCACAGATGCTGCCAGACCTGCTGAGTTTCTCCAGCAATTCCTGTTTTCTTGTATATAATGCTGTTTTTTGTTTTTCACAGCTGAATACAATTGATGATAGCGCAAGACTGAGATTTCTGTATAGTTTCATGGTTCTGTGATGAAGCAATGAACACAGGAAGTAAAGAAACCTTTGAGATTTAATCCATGACAGATGGGAGGTAAAACGAAGCGAGAGAGATTTATTGCCCCTGCCACTTCATAATCTGTGGGGCTACAAACCCCGAATGACAGACACTGATCAGACTCACTTCACATAGGCCGGAGCCACCCAGTATGGATTTTGTTCGGCTTCTTTTGCATGACGTAAGATAGCTTCACGCGGGTTGCTGTCATCTGTTTTATCCAGAGCGATGTTCTTCACAATAAATGATGATAACGTTCCACCATGAGTACCAACGCGTCCACCACGGCCTATAACAGAAACACTTACGTAAATGCCCCAAAGTGACACTCAGATTATAGCTTAGGCAAATAGTTTTCAGATTCAGCAGCAACCAACAGCTCGCAACACTGATGAGGAACTATGAAACCGACAGCACCTGGTCCAGATACTGGAGGTTCCGGCTTGTGGGATTTCACAGGATCAAGACGATCTTTCTCCAACTGTTTCCTGGTGCTCTTCTGCCTGGGTTCCCGGAACATGGGCAGGGCGTGTGCTACAAACATGGAAAACAACCAGATAAATAAACAATTGTTATATCGCTTATAACAGCCTTAAAGTTCCAAGTCATCTGAGTATATCAGAGTCTTACAGTGAGAGATGTGGGGTATATCAGTATGTTAATGTGTGGGGTGTGGTGTATGTCAGACTTAAAATGAAGGGTGTGGGTGATATGCAAATGTTACAGAGAGAGGTGTGGGGTATATCAGCACGTTAAAGTGAGAGGTATGGACAATATTTGAGAATTTGAGTACAGGAATTGGAATGTCTTGCTGCAGTTATATAGGGCCTTGGCAAGGCCATACCTTGAAGACCGTGTGCAGTTAGGTCCCCTGGTGTGAGGAAGTACATTCTTATTATTGAGGGAGTCCAGCAAAAGTTCACCAGACTGATTCCCGAGATGGTAGGAACAAAAACAAAGTTGCTGGAAAAGCTCAGCAGGTCTGGCAGCATCTGTGAAGGAAAAACAGAGTTAACGTTTCAGGTCCGGTGAACTTCCTGAAAACGGGATGTAGGACTGATATATGAACAAAGTCTGGATCGACTGGGCTTGTACTCATTGGAATTTAGAAGCATGAGGGGGTGGGCATCTCATGGAAACATATAAACTCTTGATGGGACTGGACACGTTAAACGTGGGAAGAATGTTCTCAATTATGGGGAAGTCCAGAACTAGAGGTCACAGTCTAAGAATAAATGGTAAGCTATTCAGGACTGAGACTGCCGGGAAGGGTAGTGGAGTGGGCCTCATTAGGGGCATTTAAGTGGCTATTAGATAGGCATATGGATGATAGTATAAGGTAGCGGTGGAGGTTAGATAGACCTTAGGTTTTGGGTAAAAGTTCGGCACAACATTGTGGGCCGAAGGGCCTGTACTGTGCTGTACTGCTCTATGTTCTATGAGATGAGAAAGAACTTCTTCACTCAGATAGTTGTGAACCTGTGGAACTTTCTACCACAGAAAGCTGTTGGGCCAGTTCATTACATATATTCAAGAGGGTAGTGGATGTGGCCCTTAAAACTAAAGGGATCCAGGGGTATGGAGAGAAAACAGGAGTGGGATACTGAAATTGCATGATTAGCCACGATCATAATGAATGGTGGTGCAGGCTCAAAGGGCCGAATGGCCTACTCCTACACCTATTTTCTATGTTTCTATGTCTATGTTTCCATATCAGAATTTACAGTGAGGGTTGTGGGGTAGATTAGAGTGCTACAGTGAAGGGTGTGCTCGATTTCAGATTTTACAGTGAGGGGTGAAGGGCATATCAGTGTTACAGTGAAGGTTAAGTTATATTAGGATGCTTTTTGGGCATAGATCTACGATGAAATCAATTGACATCAACAAGGGTTTATGGCAAGGATTCAGTCTATGACTGTAATTTCTGGAGTCTGCGAGAATGGCAGTCTTGTTCTATAGCTGCTGATTACCTGGAAGGGCTCTGTACTTACGTGTAATGACGTATTCCTGTGTGACAGTCTGACTCTGCTTTGCTTTTCGCTTTGTTTTCACGACACAAAGTTTAGCCCCTCTGGAAAACACAAAGCTCTGGTCAGTAAACTGAATGCTATTTGAGGTTTGTAGCCTGCTTATTTTGACTGGGCTTCTGTACTTGAGCTGGGAGCTAGAGTGCACAGCCACATGGAGTCACAAGAACATAACAACTAGGAGCAGGAGTAGGCTGTCCGGCCCTTCAAGCCTGCTCCGCCATTCAATAAGATGATGGCTGATCTTTTCGTGGACTCAGATCCACTTACCCGCGTTCTCACCGTATCCCTTAATTCCTTTATTGTTCAAAAAAAATCTACCTTATCTTTAAAAACGTTTACTGAAGTAGCGTCAACTACTTCACTGGGCAAAGAATTCCATTGATTAACAACTCTCTGGGTGAAGAAGTTCCTTCTCAATTCAGTCCTAAATCTGCTCCCTCTAATCTTGAGCTATGCCCTCTTGTCCTAGCTTCACCTGCCAGTGGAAACATCCTCTCTATTTCTATCTTATCTATTCCCTTCATAATTTTATATGTTTCTATAAGATCCCCCCTCAATCTTCTGAATTCCAATGAATATGATCCCAATCTACTCAGTCTTTCCTCATAAGCCAACCCCCTCAACTCCAGAATCAACCTAGTGAACCTCCTTTGCACCCCCTCCAGTGCCAGTACATCCTTTCTCAAGTAAGGAGACCAAAAGTGCACACAGTACTCCAGGTGTGGCCTCACCAGCACCTTGTACAGCTGCAACACAACCTCTCTGCTTTTAATCTCAATCCCTTTAGCAATGAAGGACAAAATTCCATTTGCCTTCCTAATTACTTGTTGTACCTGCAGACCTACATTCTGTGATTCATGCACAAGGTCACCCAGGTCCCTCTGCATAGCAGCATGCTGCAACTTTTTACCATTCAAGTAATAATCCTTTTCACTATTACTCCTACCAAAATGTATGACTTCACACTTATTTACATTGTATTCCATCTGCCAGACGTTTGCCCACTCACTCAATGTATCTATGTTCCTCTGCAAAGTTTCACAGTCCTCTGCACACTTTGCCCTGCCACTCATCTTAGTGTCATCTGCAAACTTTGACACCCTACACGTGGTCCCCAACTCCAAATCATCTATATAAATTGTAAATAATTGCGGTCCCAACACCGATCCCTGAGGCACACCACTAGTCACTGACTGCCAGCTAGAATAGCACTCATTTATCCCCACTCTTTGCTTCCTGTCAGTCAACCAATCCTCTATCGATGCTAATACTTTACCCTTAATGCCATGCATCCTTATCTTATGCAGTAGCCTCTTGTGCGGCACCTTGTCGAAGGCCTTTTGGAAATCTAGGTACATTACATCCACTGGGTCCCCATTGTCCACCTTGCTCGTAATGTCTTCATAGAATTCCAAAAGATTTGTCAAGCATGACCTGCCCTTCATGATCCCATGCTGCGTCTGCCCAACGGGACAATTTCTATCAAGATGCCTTGCTATTTCTTCCTTGATAATAGACTCAAGCATCTTCCCCACTACAGAGGTTAAGCTAACCGGTCTATAATTCCCCATCTTTTGTCTACTTCCCTTTTTAAACAGTGGCGTCACATTTGCTGTTTTCCAATCTGCTGGGACTGCCCCAGAGTCCAGCGAATTTTGGAAAATTACCACCAGTGCACCTGCTATTTCTCCCGCCATCTCTTTTAGTACCCTGGGATGCATTCCATCAGGGCCAGGAGACTTATCAATCCTTAGCTCCATTAGCTTGCCCAACACTACCTCTTCCATAATAATGATCGTTTCCAGGTCCTCACCTACCTTCGGCTCTTTGTCAATTACTGGCATGTTATTATTGTCCTCCACTGTGAAGACCGATACAAAATACCTGCTCAATGCCTCGGCCATTTCATCATATCCCTTAACTAAATTCCCCTTCTCATCCTCGAAAGGGCCAATGTTTACTTTAGCCACTCTTTTTCGTTTTATATATTTATAGAAACTTTTGCTATCTGTCTCTATATTCTGTGCTAGTTTTTTCTCATGTTCTATCTTACCTTTCTTTATAGCTCTTTTTGTGGCTTTCTGTTGGCCCTTAAAGTTTTCCCAATCTTCTAGTTTCATGCTGTTTTTGGCCACTTTGTATGCCTTGTCTTTCAATTTGATAGCCTCCCTTATTTCTTTAGACACCCATGGCAGATTACCCCTTTTCTTACAGTCCTTCCTTTTCATTGGAATATACTTTTGCTGAGCACTTTGAAAAATTGCTTTGAAAGTTCTCCACTTAAGAGTCATCTTATCCCAGCTGATTGAAACACTAGACAAGTTAGAACCCAGAGTGAAACTTGTTTTGAAATACTGTTAAATTTTATTTTTACAATTCTGTTACGATGGTGGTCAGTCACTAATGCTCATGAGGCTGCCAACACACTTTAAATGAAAGAACAATGCATATTACATAGAAAAAGGAAGAAAACACAAACTAGGGTGGTCAACAGGACTTTACACTAGAAAGTGGGGGGTCGGGAAGGAAAACAAAGCAGCAGGTGAGCATATGGACAGATGTGGATTCAACTGCATGGAAAAAATGAGAAGTAAAGAGAACTCAGAAGAGGTTCTTAAAGTCTCCAGAACACACAACAGGACAGTGTGTTTGGAAAGGGTTAGGAATGTAACTTCAAGCACATCAGATAAAGGGATGGCAATGAGAAGAGGGATGGTAAATGCAGGACTGAAGATGTTGTATCTCAATTAACGCAGTGTACGAAATAGAACATAGAACATAGAACAGTACAGCACAGTACAGGCCCTTCGGCCCACGATGTTGTACCGAACTTTTACCCTAATCCTAAGGTCTATCTAACCTCCACCCCTACCTTATACTATCATCCATATGCTTATCTAATAGCCGCTTAAATGCCCCAATGAGGCTGAATCCACTACCCTCTCCGGTAATGCAATCCATGCCCCTACCGCTCTCTGAGTAAAGAATCTACCTTTGACGTCTCCTCTATATCTACCTCCACTCACCTTAATATTATGCCCCCTCGTAATACCTACCTCCACCCTAGGAAAAAGTCTCTGGCTGTCTACTCTATCTATACCTCTGATCATTTTGTACACCTCTATCAAGTCACCTCCCATCCTTCGTCATTCTAAAGAGAAAAGCCCTAGCTCTCTCCACCTTTCCTTGTAAGGCCTTCCCTCCATTCCAAGCAACGTCCTGGTAAATCTCTTCTGCACCTTTTCCAACGCCTCCACATCTTTCCTATAATGAGGCAACCAGAACTGGACACAATACTCCAGATGTGGCCAAACCAGGCTTTTGTATAGCTGGAGCATAACTTCACAGCTCTTGAACTCAATCCGTCTATTAATGAAAGCCAACACACCATATGTCTTCTTAACAACTCTATCCACCTGGGTGGCAGCTCTCAGGGAACTGTGGACATGAACCCCAAGATCCCTCTGCTCCTCCTCACTGCCAAGAATCTTTCCGTTAACCCTGTATTCTGCTTTCAAGTTTGTCCTTCCAAAATGAATCACCTCACACTTTACAGGGTTAAACTCCATCTGCCACTTCCCAGCCCAGCTCTGCATCCTATCAATGTCCCTTTGTAACCTAGAACAGCCCTCCGCACTGTCCACAACACGACCCACCTTCGTATCGTCCGCGAACTTACTAACCCACCCTTCCACTCCTTCACCCAAATCATTTACAAAAATCACAAATAGAAGAGTACCCAGAACAGATCCTTGTGGTACACCACTCGTAACTGAGCACCATGTTGAATATTTTCCATCCACTACCACTCTTTGTCTTCTAAGGGTCAGCCAATTCTGAATCCAATCTGCCACATTTCCCCCTATCCCATGCCTCCTTACCTTCTGCATAAGCCTACCATGGAGAACCTTATCAAACGCCTTACTTAAATCCATGTATACCACATCCACTGCTCCAGCTTCATCCACATGTTTGGCCACCTCTTCAAATAATTCAATGAGGTTTGTGAGACATGATCTACCCCTCACAAATCCATGCTGACTATCACGAATCAAACTGTGCCTTTCCAAATGATCATAAATCCTATCTCTCAGAGCCCTTTAGAATAATTTGCCCACCTTGGTCAGGGTCTTCTGTTACTGGGAGATGACAAGAACTGCAGATGCTGTAAGTCAGAGTCGATACAGTGCACAGCTAGAGGAACACAGCAAGTCAGGCAGCATCGGGTTAGGACCCTTCATCAGGGTTCCGATCAGAAACATCGACTTTGCTGCTGCTTTAATGCTGCCTGACTTGCTGTGTCCCTCCAACCTCACACTGTATTGACAGTGTTTTCTGTTAACCTGATTCCTTCAGACAGGTAAATTAGTGGCTTTGTGCCCTTTGATTAAATCATTAACTTTTGTGGGTGACCCAGCAATCGTGGTCTTGAGAATCAACATACTTTCCCAAGTGTGTTTTAACAAGAGTATCAGGCTTACGGCCATGATTATTGTGAAACCGATAATGAGGATTCGGGTGCAGTATTAGCAAGTGATAAATGTAAAGAAAATACCAGGTTCTGTACTGCATACAAGTAATGGCACTGGAAATTGCAAAAGATTTCCTGCAGGTGGTAGAGCTATCCCTGACAGCCTTCAGTGAACTTCTAAAAGCCAATTGGAAGTTGGCAAGTTAGAGATGCAGTTGCTTGCTCAAGCTAAGAAAGCAGACACAGTGAAGTACTAGCATAGATTTTGGGTTTTGTATACATATTAGAGGGGATAATTCAGTGTCATTTCTCACTGCCATCCGAAACATTATGATACAACAATCACTGTGCCCTAAATATAGGCATAGGAAAGGTGAAATCACAATGCTGGGAGTATACTACAGGCCTCCCAACAGCCAGTGGGAGACAGAGGAGAGAATACGTAGACAGATTTTGGAAAAATGTAAAAACAGCAGGGTTGTTGTGATGGGTGAGTTTAACTTCCCCTATATGGACTGGGACTCACTATGTGCCAACGGCTTAGATAGGGCAGAATTTGTAAGGACCATTCAGGAGAGATTCTTAACACAATCTGTAAACAGTCCAACCAGGGAAGGGGTTATACTGGAACTGGTTTTGGGACATGAGCCTGACCAGGTGAGTGAAGTTTCAGTGGGGGAAGAATTTCGGGAATGGTGGCCATAATATTGTGAATTTTAAGATACTCATGGGTAGGGGTAACACCAGTCCTCAGGTGAAGGTGTTAAAATGGGGAAGAGTGAACTACAACATTGTTAGGCAGGAACTGGAGAATTTTGATTGGAGGCAGCTGTTTGAGGGTAAATCCACACTGGTACATGTGGTGCATTTCAAACGGCAGTTGATAAGAGTTCAGGACAGGCACATTCGTGTGAGAATGAAGGATAGGTATGACAAGTTACGTGAACCTTGGATGACCAGGGATGTTACGACCTTGGTCAGAAAGAAGAAGGAAGCATGCGTAAGGTCTAAGAGGCTGGAACTGACGGAGCCCTTTAAGTATAAAAGGAAAGTAGGAAATAGCTTAAACAAGGAATTAGAAGGGTAATAAGGGGTCAGGAAAAGTCGTTAGCACACAGGATTAAGGAGAATCCCAAGGCTTTATAAAAAGCAAGAAGGTAGCTAGGGAAAGGGTTGGCCCACTCAAGGTCAAAGGAGGAAATCAATGTGTGGAGCCAGAAGAAGCACGTGAGGTCCTAAACGAAAACTTTGTATCAGGAATTGGTAGAGGATGATCTCAGGGAAGGGAATGTCAAGTTTCTAAGTCAAGTTGCTATTGAAAAGGGAGAGGTGTTGTGTGTCTTAAAAAGTATTAAGGTAGAGAAGTCCCTGGGTCCTGATGGGATCTATCCAGAATATTCAAGGAGGCAAGAGAACAAATTGCTGGAGCATTGACAGATATCTTTGTATCCTCCTTGGCCACAGGTGAGATCCCAGAGGACTGGAAAATAGCCAGTGTTGTCCCATTGTTTAAGAAGGGTAGCAGGGATAATCCTGGAAATTATAGGCCTGTGAGTCTCACATTGGTGGTAGGAAAATTATTGGAAAAGATTCTCAGGGACAAGATCTATATGCATTTAGGAGCAAATGGACTTATTAGCGATAGACAGCATGGTTTTGTGCGGGGGAGGTCGTGCATCACTAACTCGATCAAATTTTTTGAGGAGGTGACAAAGATGATTGATGAAGGAAAAGCAATTGATGTTGCCTACATAGGCTTCAGTAAAGCCTTTGACAAGGTCCCGTTATGGCAGACTGGTACAAAAGGTGAAGTCACATGGTATCAGGGGTGAGCCCGCAAGATGGATACAGAACTGGCTTAGTCATAGGAGACAGAGGGTAGCGGTGGAAGGATGCTTTTCAGAATGGAGGATTGTGACTGGTGATCTTCTACAGAGATCAGTGCTGGGACCTGTGCTGTTCGTGATCTACATAAATGATTTGGAGGAAAACATAGCTGGTCTAATTAGTAAGTTTGCAGGCAGTATTAAGATTGGTGGAGTTGCGGATAGTGAGGAGGATTGTCAGAGGATACAGCAGGATATAGATCAGTTGGAGGCATGGGCAGAAAAATAGCAGATGGAGTTGAATCTGGACAAATGTGAGGTGATGCATTTTGGAAGGTCAAGTACAGGTGGAAATTATACATTAATGGCTGATCCCTTAGGAGTATTGATATGCAGAGGGATCTGGGTGTGCAGGTCCACAGATCACTGAAGGCAGCAGCGCAGGTAGATAAGGTAGTAAAAATGCTTATGGCATCCTTGCCTTCATTGGAAGAGGCACTGAGTTCAAGGATAGGCAAGTTATGCTGCAGCTTTATAGAACTTTAGTCTGGCCACACTTGGAACTTGCACATAGTTCAGGTCAACACACTACCAGAAGGATGTGGATGCTTGGAGAGGATACAGAGAAGGTTTACCAGGGTGTTGCCTGGTATGGGGGATTTTAGCTATGAAGAAAGGTCGAATAGACTGGGTTTGTTTTGACTGGAATGCAGCAGTTTGAGGGGCGACGTGATAGAAGTTTATAAGATTGTGAATGGCAATGGATAGAGTGGAAAGTATGAGGCTTTTTCCCAGCGTGGGGGGGTCAATTACTAGTGGACACAGGTTCAAGATGCAAGGGGGAGGGGTGTTTAAAAGTGATGTGCGAGGCAAGTTTTTCACACAAAGAGTGGTGAGTGCCTGGAATATGCTGTCAGAGGTGGTGGTGGAAGCAGACACAATAGAAGCATTCAAGAAACACCTGGACGAACACATAAATAGGAAAGGAATAGAGGGATACAGATCCGGTAAGTGAAGGCAGTTTTAGCATGGAAGGGCAAAATGTGTTGGTGCAGGCTTGGAGGGGCGAAGGGCCTGTTCCTGTGCTGTACTGTTCTTCGTATTGTGCTGTACTGTTCAGACAAATGCGAGGTGATACATTTTGGAGGATCAAATTTAGGTGTGAATTGTACTGTAAATGGCAGAACCCTTAGGTTCGGATCTGGGCATGCAGATCCACAGTTCCCTAAAAGCGGCAACACAGGTGGCCAGTGATTAAGAAGGCACATGGCACATTTGTCTTCATCAGCTGGGGCATGGAGTACAAGAGTTGGCAAAACATGTTGCAGCTTTATAAAATCCTTGTTAGGCCGCATTTGGAGTATTGTGTGCAGTTTTGGTCGCCACACTACCAGAAGGACATGGAAGCTTTGGAGAGAGTGCAGAGAAGGCTCACCAGAATGCTGCCCAGTCTCAAGGCCATTGGCTATCAGGAAAGGTTAAAAAGACTAGGATTGTTTTCACTGGAAAGACAGTAGCTGAAAGGAGACCTAATAGAGGTCTACAAAATTATGATAGGCACAGATAAGGTGGATAGTCAGAGGCTTTTTTCCAGGGTTGAAGTTTCAATTAAAAGGTGGCACAGGTTCAAAGTGAGACGGCAAAAGTTTAAGAGAGATGTGCGAGGAATGGTAGGAGCCTGGAATGCACTGTCAGAGGAGGTGGTGGAAGCAGACATGTTGGTGACATTTATGAGGCATCTGGATGGTTACATGAATAGGGAGGAAATAGAGGGACAACGACTGAATAAGGGCAGAAGGTTTGTTTTTTAGTTTAGTCTGGGCATTATGGTCAGCACAGTCTTGAAAGGCCAAAAGGCCTGTTCCTGTACCGTACCTCTTTTTTTTTTCTTTTGTTCTTTTATTCTCTTTGTTCCTTTACCTTTGACTTTTGACTGGATGATAGTAGACTTTTGCTAATCCATTTCCTGTCCCCACCATGATCTGGTTCAGCTTTGGGTGCCACAAGCATCGAATAACGCTCTGAAAAATGAAAAGGAATTAAATGCATATGTAACAGCTTCCACTGTCCTGAGAGGTACCCTACATTCTATCATATAGCATCGGATGTGCTTTGGAGTAAAACAGCAAGCACCACTCATTCTTATTCACATTCTCTCTTTCTCTTGCACGCGCACACACTCTCTCTCTTTCTCACCTCAAACTTTCCAAATCCATTCTAACACCCTCAACCTCTCACATTTGATACCAGATCCTAACCTTAACACACATTTTCACACTCATATGCTTAGTCAACCATACTCAATCCTTTTCTCCCTCTCAACTCTAACACATACTTATCCATAATCACCCAGTCTCATCTGTACCTGCACCCACACCCTGTCACACCTGGTCTCTCTCTCTCTCACTCTCTCTCTCTCTCACAAACACGCATTCCTTTGGTCTCTCTCTCTCTCACACACACATACGTGTGCTCCCTTGCTCTCTCTGTTGTGCACACTCTCTTGCTCGCACTCTCACCCACGCTCCGTCACTTGCTTCTCTCTTTCGTACCACTCCCTCACTTTCTGTTGCACCTGCTCAGTCCCTTGTTCACTCTCTCACATGCACATTCTGTCTCTATCTATCATTTTCCTTCTCTCATGTGCTTACCGCGCCCTCCTTCTTTCTATCCCTTGCTCACACGCACTCTTGCTCCCTCCCTCCCCATTTCCCTCATGCACACACACTGCCTCTCACTTTCCCTGTCCCTCTCCACCTCACACTTGTTCCCATGCTCAATTCCCATACGCTCTCCTCAGGTGTGCTGCCCCTCAGTGCTCTCTCTCGCGCACATGAGCCCTTTTTCTGGCGGTCTCACTCCCTCTCCATCTCTCTTGGGCATGCGTGCTCCCACTCACTTGCCTGTGCTCCAGGTCTCTCTTTTACTTTCTCTAACGAGTGCGGTCCCTCGCTTGCGCTCTCGTGTGCATCCTATCCATCACTCACGCAAACAATCCCTCTCACTCTGTCTCTCATGTTCTCACTTCTTCCCTACCTCCCTCACGTGCGTGTGCTTCTTCTCACTCTTCAGCGCTCCACTCCACCTCTTGCATGCTCTGTCTTATGCTCACCCACCTGCTCCCTCGTTCCCTCATCCCCATCCTGTACGTGCTCCGCCTCCCGCCTCCCATGGATGCTCCCTCTCTCCCATGCGCGCTCCTGGTCCCACTCCTTCACCCTCCCCCTGTACACGCTCCCTCCCTCATCCACCCTACCGTATGCACCCTCCCTCTCTCCCTTGCTTTCTCTCCCTTGTGCATTGTGTCTCACACACAGGCACTACCTGCTCTCAGCCTATCCAGTCTCTCCTCTTACATGAGAGTTTGCAACCCAGGTGACATCCTGGTGAACATTCTCCACCCCCTCTCTAGTGCATGTCCTTACAATAGTGTGGTGACCAGAACTGCACACAGAATTCCATCTATGGCCTTACCAATGTTTTATAAAGTTGTAAGACAACTTCCTTGCTCCTATATTTGATGGCCTGGCTAATGAAGGCAAGCATCCCATATGCCATCACCATCCTGACTACCTGTACTCACACCTTCAGGGATCTATGGACTTGTATACCAAGGTCCCTTTGTTCCTCAGTACTCTCAAGGGACCAATCATTCATTGTGTATATCTTTCCCCTATCAGACCTCCCAAAACGCATCATCTTGAACTTATCAGGATTCAATTCCATCTGCCATTGTTCTGTCCAATTTTTCAGCTGATCAATATCAGACTGTAGCTTAAGACCATCTTCCTCATTATCAATAACCATCAATTTTTGTGTCATCGGCAAACTTACTAATTATACTTTCTACATTCACATCCAAATCATTATTGTACATAACAAATAGCAAAGATCGGAACCCTGTTCCACCGTTGGTCACAGGCTTCCAATCACAAAATCAACCCTCCTCATTTTGTCTCCTATTTACAAGCCAATTTTGGATCCAGTTTTCCAACTTGCCTTGGATCCCATGTGCTCTTACCTTTTGGACTAGCCTTCCACATGGGACCTTGTCGAAGGCCTTACTGAAGTCCATGTATACTCCACGTGACATCAAGAAACTGCCGGAGGCAGTGGATACTGCAAAGGCTACGGACCCTGACAACATTCTGGCAATTGTACTGAAGCACTGTGCTCCAGAACTTGCCGCTCCGCTGGCCAAGTTGTTTCAGTACAGCTACAATACGGGCATAGAAACATAGAAAATAGGTGCAGCAATTGGCCTTTCGGCCCTTCAAGCCAGCACCACCATTCAATATGATCATGGCTGATCATGCAATTTCAGTAAGCCACTCCCGCTTTCGCTCCATACCCCAGATCCCTTCAGCTGCAAGGGCCATGTCCAGCTCCCTCTTGAATACATCTAACAAACTGGCCCCAACAGCTTTCCATGGGAGAGAATTGCACAAGTTCTTAACTCTCCGAGTGAAGAAATCTTTCCTCATCTCAGTCCTAAATGGCTTACTCCTTATTCTTAGACTGTGACTCCTAGTTCCGGACTTCCCCAACATCGGGAACGTTCTTTCCGCATCCAGCCTGTCCAGTCCCATCAGGATTTTATATGTTACTATGAGATATCCCCCTCATTCTTCTAAATTCCGGTGAATACAAGCCCAGTCAATCCAATCTTCTGTGCTTCCATTCTTCATACGTCAGTCTTGCCATCCTGGGAATCAGTCTGGTGAACCTCCACTGGACTCCCTTAACAGCAATAATGTCCTTCTGCAGACGAGGAGACCAATACTCAAGAGACCTCACCAAGGCCCTGTATAACTGCAGCAAGACATTCCTACTCCTATATTCAAATTCTCTCGCTATGAAGGGCAGGATGACATTAGCTTTCCTCATTGCCTGCTGTATCTAGAACATAGAACATAGAACAGTACAGCACAGTACAGGCCCTTCGGCCCACGATCTGGTGCCGAACTTTTACCCTAATCCTAAGGTCTATCTAACCTCCACCCCTACCTTATACTATCATCCATATGCCTATCTAATAGCCGCTTAAATGCCCTTAATGAGGCCGACTCCACTACCCTCTCTGGCAATGCATTCCACGCCCCGACCACTCTCTGAGTAAAGAACCTACTTCTGATGTCTCCCCTATATCTACCTCCACTCACTTTAAAACTATGCCCCCCTCATAATAGCTACCTCCACCCTAGGAAAAAGTCTCTGGCTGTCTACTCTATCTATACCTCTGATCATTTTGTACACCTCTATCAAGTCACCTCCCATCCTTCGTTTTTCTAAAGAGAAAAGCCCTAGCTCTCTCAACCTTTCCTCGTAAGACCTTCCCTCCATTCCAGGCAACATCCTGGTAAATCTCCTCTGCACCTTTTCCAACACCTCCACATCTTTCCTGTAATCAGGCGACCAGAACTGGACACAATACTCCAGATGTGGCCGAACTCGGCTTTTGTATAGCTGGAGCATAACTTCACGGCTCTTGAACTCAATCCCTCTATTAATGAAAGTTAACACACCATACGCCTTCTTAACAACTCTATCCACCTGGGTGGCAGCTTTCAGGGAACTGTGGACATGAACCCCAAGATCCCTCTGCTCCTCCACACTGCCAAAAATCTTTCCGTTAACCCTGTATTCTGCTTTCAAGTTTGTCTTTCCAAAATGAATCACCTCACACTTTTCAGGGTTAAGCTCCTTCTGCCACTTCTCAGCCCAGCTCTGCATCCTATTATTGTCCCTTTGTAACCTAGAACAGCCCTCCACACTGTCCACAATGCGACCCACCTTCATGGGTATCTGCATAGCGATCTTTAGTGACTGTTCTACCATGACACCCAGGTCTCATTGCACTTCACCTTTTCCTAAACTGCCACCATTGAGATAATAATCTGCCTTCCTGTGTTTGCCATCGAAGTGGATAACCTCACATTTATCCACATTATATTGCATTTGTCAAGTATTTGAAAGACTGGATCCATTGGGCTTGTACTCAGTTAGCCTGTCCAAGTCACCTCTTAGCATCCTCCTCACAACTCACACCACCACGCAGCTTAGTGTTGTTTACAAATTTGGAGATATTGCATTCAATTCTTTCGTCCAAATCATTAAAGTACGTTTTAACAGCTGGAGTCCCAGCACCGAACCCTGCGGCACCCACTCGTCATAGCCTGCCATTCTGAAAAGGACCCGTTTATTCCACCTCTCTGCTTCCTGTCTGCCAACCAGTTCTCTATCCACATCAATACATTACCTCCGATACCATGAGCTTTAATTTTACTAATTTCTTGTGTGGGACCTTGTCAAAAGCCTTTTTAAAGTCCAGATACACAACATCCACTGATTCACTCTTGTCCACTCTACTGGTCACATCCTCAAAGAATTCCATAAGATTTGTTGAGCCTGATTTCCCTTTAGTGAATCTATGTTGACTTGGATTCATTCTGTCACCACTTTCCAAATGCTCAGTTATTATATCATTAATAATTGACTCCAGCATTTTTCCCACCACCAATGTCAGGTTAACCAGCCTATAATTTCCCATTTTTTCTTTCCCTCCTCTTTTAAAAAATGGGGTTACATCTCCCCAGCAATGTGGAACATTATCTAGGTATGTCCTGTATGCAAAAAGTAGGTCAAATCCAACATTACCAATTACCTCCCCATTAGTCTACTCTCGATCATCAGTAAAGTGATTGAAGATGTCATCAACAGTACTATCAAGCAGCACCTGCTCAGCAATAACCTGTTCCACCAGGGCCACTCAGCTCTGAATTCATTACAGGCTTCGTTCAAACATGGATAAGAGAGCTGAATTCCAGAGATGAGGTGAGAATGACAGCCCTTGACATCAAGATTCGGCATGACATCAAGGAGCTTTCACAAAACTGGAGTTGGGAATTGGGGGTAAGTTCTCAAATGATTGGTCTCATACAAAGAAAGACACTTGTGGTATGCAGATTCTCTCCATCAGAGACATTTGTAGCACAAAATGAGGCCCATCACATCCATATTGGTCAACAAAGATTTGGCAACATGAATCCCCTTTTCTAGCTTTTGACCCATTGCCCTGGAGGCTATGGTAATGCAAGTGAATATTTAAATAATGCTAAACTGATACAAGAGGAAGGCAGTGAGTCCTTGATTCCCTCTACCCTCAGTGAAAAAATCTTTTGCTCAACTCTCCTCTTCACTTTCTACCTCTTACCTTAAATCTATTATTGAGAGGTCAGAGGACATATCCACCTCTATCAAATCCCCTCTCAACCTTTGCTGCTCCAAGGACCACAACCCCAGCCTATTCAATCCTTCTCATGCCTCTGACCCTCCAGTCTATGCAGCATCTGGTAAATTGCCTCAGCTCCTTTCTTGTGCAATCACATCCCTCCTAAAATGTAGTGATCAAGACTGTGTGCAGTAATCTTTTCAAAAGAGCTGGAATACAAGAACAGAGAAGTAGGGCGGAGGTTGTCTAAGGCTCTGGTCAGACAGCATTTGGAATGTTGTGAGCAGTTCTGGGCCCTGTATCTAAGGAACAATGTGCTGGCCTTAAAGGGAACCAGTATGTATAGTAAACCTTAATGTCCAAAAGTCAATGTAAATACTTGTGGAGTTAGACGTTTTATGTTATCCTTGACAGAGGACTGATTAAAGGACAGAAATTAGACAGTAGTCATACGTGAGACATTTTCAATTTGTGAACAGTCGTGCTGGGTTTTCTGCGATCTACGATCTACATTAAAAACTTAGATGAATATACAGAGTAATGTATCTAGGTTTCCTGATGATACAAAGCAAGATATAAAAATGGGGATGACACAAACAGGCTACACAGAGATATAAAGAATGATGTAAAGGTTGAGTGGACAACAACATGGCAAATGGACAGGGAAGTGTGAAGTGATTGACATCGGTCATAGGAATAGAGAGCAGATTCTTCTTTTAAAATGTGCGAAAATCCCAAGTGTTGATGTTCAGAGAAACGTGCCTGCACTTGTATGAGGACTACAGAAAGCTACCATGAAGGTACAACAAGCAACCAAGAAAGCAAAAGGCATGTTGGTCTTTATCACAGGGAAACTGGAGAAACAGGAATAACGTCCTTTTAAAATTGTACAGGGTTTTGCTAAGACCATGAATGGAGTGCTGTGTGCCACCTTGGACTCTACCTTTATGAAAGGAAGTATTAACATTGGAGGTGGTACAGTGGAAGTTCACAAAATCAGATCCTTGGATCACAGGGTTGTTGTTTGAGAAGAGGTTGAGCAAAATGAGACACGATCGCATGCATGACACATATAAGAATCTGAAGGAGCCTGACAGAGTAGACACAGAGATTGGTTTCTCCGGTCAGAGAATCCAAAACACAGAGGAACAGCCTCAGGATAATGGATGGATCATCCAGGGCTGAGATGAGGAGAGGTTTCTTCATTTGAAAGGTTGTGAATGTTTGTAATTCTCTGCCTCAAAGGGTTATGGAGTCCCCATAGTCAGACATATTACAGGCTGGGATGGACAGCTTTTCTGGTCTCTTTGGGAATCAAGGGACATGAAAGCACACAGAAATATTGAGATGAATGCAAGATCAGACACACTCTTAACGAATGGCAGGGCAGGCTTGACGGACCCCTCTTATTCATTACGTAAAACCAGTTTGACTCACTGTTCATACGACTGTCATGATTTTCCAATTATTGAGAAATAGGGTTTCCTTACACCTGTGTTAAATGAGCATTCCATATTTGATATTCCCTATGTAACATGAGACCTGATTTAACTGTCATATTTGTGACTAACCTACTAACATAAACAAACCTCTATTTGAAATCAGAGAAGTTATAACAATCATCAAGGTTTTGACTCATGCACTATTATCGATGTAATGAAAATAAGGAGGTTTTGGTCTTAGAACGAATGAAAACAATCTTCATATGGAGGTAGGCAAGGGGCAATGGTAATCTGACTCCTTAGTAGCCATCCCTGGTGAATGTCATAGCATTGACAGCCAGCTCCCAAAATAAGATATGTCAATAGGGAATGGATAGGAGGGAGGGGCAAGATCATAAAGGGAGATGAGCCACACTGGCTTCTTGGGGGAAGACTGACCTACATGAGCCTGAGGGAAGAACAAAGATAGCTGGTACCAAGATCACCAAAGATTACAACAGGATGTAAGACCACTGGGACAGGGGTCTGCATTGATTTTATCCTCCATTGTACAGAATGGTTCCAGGATTGGTAAAGCATTCTCATTATCATGGATAAGAAAGTTCTTTTCTTTGCCTAATTAACCAATGTACCACATCACAACTGCTGCTTCTCAATAAACTATCAGAAAATTGCAATAAATCATCAACTGCCTATATTAGGTAACTGTGATCATGAACTCCCTATAATCAGCGCAATTATCCTGCGGATACTTCTTTTATCAATGGATTGTAGCAGTTTCCCAATCACAAATGTTCCTTCAACAGCTTCTAGCTTCTAGCTTCATGTAACCCTCCTTTCTTGAATAGATTTGTGACATTTGCCTATCAGATTGGGGAGTGTGGCAGTGCAGGGATGAATGCAGGGAATGACATGATAAACTTAGCTGTTACGGAGTCCTCTGGGCTCCCTTTGAGACATATGAAATATAAATTATTAAATGAATTGACTCACTGCATCAGTGACCTCAATCTCATACAATTTTTGAAATGTTTCTCTGTGAAAGAACACCAGTTTCCCATTCTCCTGTCCTCTCTTCACTGATGTTCCAGTTACCAGCAGCTTATCATCAGGGCTGAAGCAGCAATCTGTCCTGAGGGAGAGAACATAAACATTGAGGAAGGCTCATTCATCACCAAGTTCACAAGGCAAACATAAAGCATTTATATTGAGCCTTGAAACACAAAGCATTTCACAAAGTATTGTGAAGCAAATTTGACAACGTTTCAACTAAGGTGGGATGACAGCAGATTACTAACAGCTTAGTCTTTTAAGGGGAACCTTAATGAAGGACGAGAGGTTTACAGAACTTGCGTGGAGGGCTCTCCAGAGCTAAAGGCAATGGTACAGGAATTAATTACTGCGGATGCCGGAATGTGAAATGAAAACAATGTGCTGGAGAAACTTAGCAGGTCTGGCACTATCTGTGGACAGAAAACAGAGTTAATGTTTTGAGTCTAATATGACTCTTCTTCAGAATTAGAAGAGTACAAATATCTCAGAGGCTTGTGAAGCTGTAGAGATTTGGAGATCTTAAGACTCAGGGGCAGAAGTAGGCCGTTCAACTCATTGAGTCTACTCTACTATTTCTGATACAGGTTAATGTTCAAATCCACTTTCTTACCTTTGCGTCATAACCCTTGATTCCCTTACTGATCAAAAATCTCCCGGTATCAGCCTTAAACATACCCAATGAACCATTCTAAACACCCTTTAAACAATTCCACAGATTCACGCATTTTAAAGGGCAAAAATTTATTCTCGTCTGTCCTAAATGGGCGGCCCCGTTTTTCTGTGATTATACACTCTGGTCCTTGACTTTTCCACAAGGAGAAACAATATTTCCAGATCTACCCTGTCAGGGCCTCAAAGAATGTTGTATGTCACAGTCTTCCAAATTCTAAAGGCTATGGGTCCAACCTACTCAATCTCTGCTCATAAGAAAAAAAATCCCTCCATACTTTGGAATCAGGCTAGTGAACCTATTCTGGACTGCCTCCAGCCATTTCTCCGCCCAACTCTCCAATCTATCTATATTTTGCTGCATTCTCCGACAGTCCCCTTCACTATCTGCTACTCCACCAATCTTACTGTCAACTGCAAACTTGCTAATCAGACCATCTATACCTCCCCTCCAGATCATTTATGTATATCACAAACAACAGTGGTCCCAACACGGATCCCCGTGGAACACCACTGGTCACAGTTCTCCATTTTGAGAAACTCCCTTCCACTACAACTCTCTGTCTCCTGTTGCCCAGCCAGTTCTCTATCCATCTCGCTAGTACACCCTGGACCCCATGCGAATTCACTTTCTCCATCAGCCTACCATGGGGAACCTTATCAAACGCCTTACTGAAGTCCATGTATATGACATCCACAGCCCTTCCCTCATCTGTCAACTTTGTCACTTCCTCAAAGAATTCTATCAAGATGGTAAGACATGACCTTCCCTGCACGAAACCACGCCGCCTATCACTAATAAGCCCATTTTCTTCCAAATGTAAATAGATCCTATCTCTCAGTGTCTTCCCCACCACTGACGTCAGGCTCACCGGTCTAGAATTACCTGGATTATCCTTGCTACCCTTCTTAAACAAGGGGACAACATTATCAATTCTCCAGGCCTCCGGGACCTCACCCGTGCTCAAGGATGCTGCAAAGATATCTGTTAAGGCCCCAGCTATTTCCTCTCTCGCTTCCCTCAGTAACCTGGGATAGATCCCATCCGGACCTGGGGACTTGTCCACCCTAATACCTTTTAGAATACCCAACACTTCCCCCCTCCTTATGCCGACTTGACCTAGAGTAATCAAACATCTATCCCTAACCTCAACATCCGTCATGTCCCTGTCCTCAGTGAATACCGATGCAAAGTAATCATTAAGAATCTCACTCATCTTCTCTGACTCCTCGCATAACTTCCCTCCTTTGTCCTTGAGTGGGCCAACCCTTTCTCTAGTTACCCTCTTGCTCCTTATGTATGAATAAAAGGCTTTGGGATTTCTCTTAACCTGTTTGCAATAGATATTTCATAACCCCTTTTATTGGTCCTACTTTCCCGATATTCTTCCAAAGCTTTGTCTGTTTTCAGTCGCCAAGACCTTATGTATGCTTCCTTTTTCCTCTTTGCTAGTCTCACAATTTCAACTGTCATCCATGGTTCCCTAATCTTGCCCTTTCTATCCCTCATTTTCACAGGGACATGTCTGTCCTTCACTCTAATCAACCTCTCTTTAAACGCCTCCCACATATCAAATGTGGATTTACCCTCAAACAGCTGCTCCCAATCCACATTCCCCAGCTCCTGTCGAATCTTGCTATAGTTGACAATAACGTGGACAATAAGTATAGATCTGCTGACTGAATGGCCTTTGAAAAATGGATGCTAAGGCATTTGATAAGAAGTCCATGCACAGACCATAAACCAGCGGAGTTGTACCAGAAATTGCATGATCGAAAAGAAATGCAAAAGACGAGATCCAGAAAAGAACAGTCAGTATTTTGGCCATTTGCTCAGAGCTTGAAGTTTCAGAAATCCTTCCTAGAGGACAAGTGGGGTGCAATAGAAAGAGGGGCTGACCTAGAGGGCAGGAATATGACATATTTCAGAGTGGTTGTAGACGTATGACAAATCTTGATAGCAGGCGTCTTGACTGGAGTGGCGACAAGTATTAATAATGGGGTTTACCCTAGTGACTAGCTTTTACACTTTCAATGTTAGTTTTACATTACTTCATTCTTTACAACAGTGACGAACACTTGAAAAGCACTCAATTGGCTGTCCTGCATTTTTAGACTTCTGGTGATCAAGAAAGGAACAGTATCGATTAATGTCAGATTTTTTCATATAGTGCTACAGAAACTCACATTGGAAAGATGTTGGGCAGACCAGATGCCACATTCAAGGGATTCCGGAAATTCCTCATATCCCAGGTTTTAATGGTGTCATCTCCTAGAAAAAAAATGTAAGCAACATTTTAATCTTGTAACAAGGTGCGATAGGCACCCAGCCCTGCCGAGTCTTCACCATCCCCCCAGACCTACCCCTTACTGAGGACGAACGGTCAGTCCTCAGTAAAGGGCTCACCTTTGTCCCCCTCCACCCACAGATCAACGAATACCGCTCACGCTTGGACATAGAGCAGTTTTTCCGCCGCCTCCGCCTCCACGCTTACTTCTTTAACCGTGAACCTAACCCTCCCTCTACTGACCCCTTCTCCCGCTTCCAACACACCCCCTCCTCCTGGACACCACCCCAAGGCCTCCTACCCTCCCTCGACCTCTTCATTTCCAACTGCCGTCGAGACATCAATCGCCTCAACCTCTCCACCCCTCTCACCCACTCCAACCTCTCCCCCTCAGAACGTGCAGCCCTCCGCTCCAATCCCAACCTCACCATAAAACCCGCGGACAAGGGAGGTGCAGTTGTAGTATGGCGCACTGACCTCTACATCGCCGAGGCCGGACGCCAACTCTCCGACACCTCCTCCTACCGCCCCCTTGATCATGACCCCACCCCTGAGCACCAAACCATCATCGCGCAAACCATCCACAACCTCATCACCTCAGGTGACCTCCCACCCACGGCCTCCAACCTCATCGTTCCCCAACCTCGCACTGCCCGCTTCTATCTCCTTCCCAAAATCCACAAACCTGAATGCCCTGGTCGACCCATTGTCTCCGCCTGCTCCTGCCCCACCGAACTGATCTCCAACTATCTCGACTCCATTTTCTCCCCCTTGGTCCAGGAACTCCCTACCTATGTCCGTGACACCACCCACGCCCTCCACCTCCTCCAGAACTTCCAATTCCCCGGTCCCCAACACCTCATCTTTACCATGGACGTCCAGTCCCTCTACACCTGCATTCCCCATGCAGATGGCCTTAAGGCCCTCCGCTTCTTCCTGTCCCGCAGGCCCGACCAGTCCCCCTCCACTGACACCCTCATCCGCTTAGCCGAACTCGTCCTCACACTCAACAACTTCTCTTTCAATTCCCCCCACTTCCTACAGACAAAGGGGGTAGCCATGGGTACCCGCATGGGCCCAAGCTACGCCTGCCTCTTTGTAGGTTACGTGGAACAATCCCTCTTCCGTACCTACACCGGCCCTAAACCCCACCTCTTCCTCCGTTACATTGATGACTGTATCGGTGCCGCCTCGTGCTCCCACGAGGAGCTCGAACAGTTCATACACTTCACTAACACCTTCCACCCCAACCTTAAATTTACCTGGACCATCTCTAACACCTCTCTCCCCTTCCTGGACCTCTCTGTCTCCATATCGGGCAACCACCTCGAAACCGATATTCATTTCAAGCCCACCGACTCCCACAGCTACCTAGAATACTCCTCCTCCCACCCACCTTCCTGCAAAAATGCTATCCCCTATTCCCAATTCCTTCGCCTCCGCCGCATCTGCTCCCAGGATGAGGCATTCCACTCCCGTACATCTCAGTTGTCCTCGTTTTTCAAGGACCGTAACTTCCCCTCCTCGGTGGTCGAGAACGCCCTCAACCGTGTCTCCCACATCTCCCGCACCTCATCCCTCACACCCCGTCCACGCAATAAGAACCAAAAAAGAATCCCCCTCGTCCTCACGTACCACCCCACCAACCTCCGGATCCAACGCATCATCCTCCGACACTTCCGCCATCTGCAATCCGACCCCACCACCAAAGACATCTTTCCCTCCCCACCTTTATCTGCTTTCCGGAGGGACAACTCTCTCCGTGACTCCCTTGTCCGCTCCACACTCCCCTCCAGCTCCACCACACCCGGCACTTTTCCCTGCAACCGCAGGAAGTGCTACACCTGCCCCCATACCTCCTCCCTCACCCCCATCCCAGGCCCCAAGAAGACTTTCCACATCAAGCAGATGTTCACCTGCACATCTGCCAATGTGGTATACTGCATCCGCTGTACCCGGTGTGGCTTCCTCTACATCGGGGAAACCAAGCGGAGACTCGGGGACCGCTTTGCAGAACACTTACGCTCGGTTCGCAACAAACAACTGCACCTCCCAGTCGCGAACCATTTCAACTCCCCCTCCCATTCCTCAGACGACATGTCCATCCTGGGCCTCCTGCAGTGCCACAACGATGCCACCCGAAGGTTGCAGGAACAGCAACTCATATTCCGCTTGGGAACCCTGCAGCCCAATGGTATCAATGTGGATTTCACAAGTTTCAAAATCTCCCCTCCCCCCACCGCATCCCAAAACCAGTCCAACTCGTCCCTGCCTCCCTAACCTGTTCTTCCTCCCACCTATCCCCTCCTCCCACCCCAAGCCGCACCTCCATCTCCTACCGACCAACCTCATCCCGCCCCCTTGACCTGTCCGTCCTCCCTGGACTGACCTATCCCCTTCCTAACTCCCTACCTACACTCACCTTTCCTGGCCCCATCCCCGCCTCTTCGACCTGTTTGTTTCCTCTCCACCTATCCTCTCCTCTATCCCTCTTCTATCCGCCTCCCACTCTCTCCCTATTTATTTCAAAACCCCCTTCCCCTCCCCCTTTTCTGATGAAGGGTCTAGGCCCGAAACGTCAGCCTCTCTGCTCCTATGATGCTGCTTGGCCTGCTGTGTTCATCCAGCCCTGCACCTTGTTGTCTCGGATTCTCCAGCATCTGCAGTTCCTACTATCTCTGATTTTAATCTTGTAAACTGGTTCTATCAGGGCCACTTGGCTCCTGGCTTTATTACAGACTTGGCCCAACCATGATTAAAAGAGCTGAATTGCAGAAGTGAGGAAAGAGTAACTGTGACACGCTATCAACTGAGGCTGTTAACATCAAGGCAGCATTTGACTGAGTGTGGTATCAAGGAGTCCAAGCAAAACTAGAGTCTAGTATTATGTAATGATAAATGGCTAATTAATAATCTTACTGTAAAAGGGGAGGCGACGGCCTAATGGTATTAACGCTGAACTGTTAATCCAGTTCTGTTCCAAGGAAGGGTCACCGGACCCGAAACATTAACTCTGTTTTTTCTTTCACAGATGCTGCCAGACCTGCTGAGCTTTTCCAGCAACTTCTGTTTTTGTTCCTGTTAATCCAGAGACCCAGATAACATTCTGGGAACCCGGTTCGAATCCTGCCACGGCAAATGGTAGAATTTGAATTCAATAAGTATCTGGAATTAAGAGTCTCATGATGACCGTGAATCCATTGTCAATTGTCGGAAAAACACACCTGGTTCACTAATGCCCTTTAGGGAAGGAAACTGCCATCCTTACCTGGTCTGGCCGACATGTGACTCCAGACCCACAGCAATGTGGCTGACTCTGAACTGCCCTCTGGGCAATTAGGGATGGGCAATAAATGCTGCCTAGCCAGCGATGCCTTCATCCCGTGAATGAATAAAGAAAAAAAAACCTTTCGGGTTGAGAGACCACTATATGATTGAATTTTACAGTATCTTTGAAAGTGAGGGAGTTCAACTTAAAGCAAGTGTTAAATTTGACTAAGGTAAATTATGAAGACAAGAGGCATAATTTGGCTGAGCTGGACTGAGCAAATACATTATAAGTCAGGAGAGTACATTGGCAATGGTCGGTGTTTAAAGAATTACAGCAACTATATATTCCATCAAGGTGCAAAAGTTCAAAAAAAAGCTGTCAACCATGGCTGACAAAGTTAAGGATTGTAAAGGAGAATTCTGTTTTTTACTCAGATGTTGGTGAATCTTTGGAATTCTCTACCCCAGAGAGTTGTGGGGTGGTGCCAATTATTGATGACAAAGGCATTCTGCCTGACGACAACCAGGTGGCTGGCTCCTGGGTAGCTGATCAAGCTGTAGCTGAGAATGTTTTGGGCAGAATCCTTCGGATCTCCGGAAAGGAAGAAGCTGTCCTTTTCTCTCAAGTAAAAACATCTCAAGCCTGAAGACAGCCTCACAGGTGCTGCAAGCTGTGGCTTTTAACCAAAGTCAGAGACATTCTAAGGCGTGAACCAGTCCATTTGTACCTCCTGCAACCAAGTGAAAGCATCCGGAGAAGGAAAGTAGAGGAACAACAAGTCCTGACAAGCCAAAAGGATCATCTCAGCTAACCCTGCAGACAGGGATCATTGAGCCACTTTCCTAGTCTTTCTGTCCATCCCAACAACACCTTATTTTTGGAACAAGGAGCAGGACTAGGCCATTTGTCTCTTCAAGCCTGTTCTGCCAGTCAATATGATCATGGCTGATTGTCTATCACAACGCAATATTCCTGTGTTCTTGTCATACCCATTGATATCTTTAAAATCTAAAATCGCACCTCTGTCTTTCTTGAATATATTCAGCGACTTGTAGAAAATTCCACAGATACACCACCATCTGTGCGAAGCAACATTCCCTCATCTCAGTCCTAAATGGTCTAGCTCATATCCTCAGACTGTGTCCCTGAATTTTGGACTCCAGAGCCAGAAGAAACATCCTCCTTGCACTAAGTCTGTCCAGCCCTGTTAAAATTTTGTGTGTTACATTCAGATCCCTCCTCATCTTTCTAAACTTAAATGAACACCGGCCCAGTCAAACCAATGTCTCCTCACAGGGCAGTCCCACCATGCCTGGTATCAGCCTAGCAAACCTCCACTGTACTCCTTCTATGGCAAGTATATCCTTTCTCAAATAGAGGGACCAAAGCTGCAAGCAATACTCCACATGTGGTCTCATCAAGGCCCAGTATAACTGTTGTAAGACATCCCTACCTAGTTCTGACCTCAAATCATCTTGCAATGGAGGCTAATATACCATTCACCCCCCCCCCCCCCCCCCGCCCCCCCCACCCCACCGAATTGCTTTCTCCACCCCCGCCTCTCCATTTCAAATAGTCAAAATACTGTGGGTGCTGGAGATATGAAACAAACACACAGAACACTGCAGAAATCTGTAGAGACAGAAACAGTATTTTGAGTCCAGTATGACTTAAAGATTCATATACCTTTTTCCTAAGTTGAAGGCTTCTGCCTCTACTACCCTTTCAGGCTTCTGAAGACTGGACTCAAAACATGAACGCTATATTTCTCTCCACAGATGCTGACAGACCTAACTTTCTCCAGCAATTTCTATGTTTGTTTACTTTCATTTATTGGTGTACAAGGACATCCAGATCCCTTTATACATCCATTCTTCACAGTACCTCATTTAAAAAACTCTTGATTACTGTTTTTCACATCAAAGTGCATAACTTCACATTCAACAGCAGCGTATTGCATCTGCCATGTTAATCCACTCACTCAACCTATCTAAATCCCCTTGAAGCCTCTTTGAATCCTGCTCACAACTCAAAATGCCACACAGTTTTATGTCAGCAGCAAAATTGCAAATGTTGCGCTTGGTCCCCACATTAGGTAATTTATATACATTATGAACAAGTGGGTCCAAACAATGATCCTCGAAGCACACCACTTGTCACCGCCTGCCACTTCGAAAAATACCCATTTATCCCCACACTCTGTTTCCTGTCTATTTACCAATTCTAATTTCATGCCATAGCCCCTATCCCATGTGCTTTAATTTTACCTGCTAACACCCTATTCGGGACCTTATCAAAAGCTTTCTGAAACTCCAAATACGCCAAATGCTCTGGCTCTCCTTTGTCTATTCTACTAGTCCCATCCTCAGAAACTCCAGTAGATTAATTAAACAAGATATGCCTTCGTCCAATCTCATTAATGCTTTCCAAGTATTCTGTTATCATGTCTATTACAACAGAATCTAGCATTTGCCCTATTACTGATGATAAGTTAAATGGTCTGTAATTGCCTGTTTTTTCTCTTCCTCCTTTTTTAAATAGATTACATGTTCCACCCTACAATCTGTGGGAGTCTACAGAAGTTTGGAAGATCACCAACAACGCATTCAATATTTCCAATATCAGTTCTTTTAATACTCTGGCTTGTAGATTATCAGGCCCTGGGGATTTGTCAGCCATTTCCCCAGCACCATTTTCTTACTAGTACTGATGTCCTTCAATTCCTCCCTTGGATCGCAAACATTTCTGAAGAATTATTCATGCCCTCTTTTGAGAAGACTAAACCAAAGTATGGGTTCAATTCTTCTGCATCTCTTTATTCCCCATTATAATTTCTAAGACTTCTGACTGTAACAAGCCTATATGTGCCTTTACTAATCTTTTGTCTTGATCTATTTATATAAGCTTTTATGGTTAGTTTCTAAGTTCCCTGCGTGACATTATAGAAAAACTGTAAGCTTATTGGTTGTCAAGAAACTGTGATGAGGTTTTTCAACAAATTGCCATAAGTTAGAAAAGTGTATATGTTAAAAACAAATCGCTGTACTTAGATTTAACTGGGAAAGTTAGGGCCAGTGTAAGAAGGTAATAAAACTAACCTCAGAGAACTCAGACTGATGAACTAAAATGCATTTATTTCAATGCAAGAGGCCTGACTGCTAAGGCAGATGAACTCAGGGCACAGTTGGGAACACAGGACTAGGATATCATAGCTATGATAGAAACGTGGTTCAGACAAAGACAGGACTGGTATCTTAATGCTCCAGGGTACAGATGCCATAGGAAGGCCAGAAAGTGGGGCAAAGACAGGAGGGGGAACGGCATTTTTGGTTAGGGATAACATTACGCTGTACACAAGGAGGGTACTCTTGGGAGTACATCAAGTCAAGTTAATTTGGATGGAACTGAGAATTAAGAAAAGAATGATTGCCTTTTGGGATTGTACTATAGGCTCCCCCAAATAGTCAGCAGGAAATTCAGAAGCAAATTTGTAAGGAGATCTCAGATATCCTTAAGAAAAATAGGGTTGTAATGACAAAGGATTTTAATCTCCCAAAGATACACTGGGACTGCCACAGTGTTAAGAGCTTGGATGAAGAGAAATTTGTTAACTGTGTACAGGAGAATTTTCTTATTCAGCATGTGGATGTACCAACTAGGGAAAGTGTAAAACTTGACCTTCTCTTCAGAAATACGGCAGGGTAAATGACTGAGGTGTCAGTTGGGGAGCACTTTGGGGGTAGTGATTATAATTCTATTAGTTTTCAAATAGTTATGGAAAAGGACAGACCTGATCTAAAAGTTAAAGTTCTAACTTGGAGTAAGGCCAATTGTGACCGTATTAGGCAAGAACTTTCACAAGTTTGTTAGGATAAGTTATTCGCAGGTCAAGGAACGTTTGGAAAGTGGGAGGCCTTCAAAAATGAAATAACAAGATTCCAGAGACAGTATGTTCCTATTGGTGTTAAGAGCAAGGCTGGCAGGTGTAGGGAATGCTGGATGACTAGAGAAACTGAGGTTCTGGTCAAGATAAAGGAGGAGGCATTTGGCAGGTAGAGACAACTAGGATCAAGTGAATCCCTCAACAGAACATAGAACATAGAACATTACAGCACAGTACAGGCCCTTCGGCCCTCGATGTTGCGCCGACCTGTGAAACCAATCTGAAGCCCACCTAACCTAAACTATTCCATTATCATCCATATGTTTATCCAATGACCATTTAAATGCCCTTAAAGTGGGCGAGTCTACTATTATTGCAGGCAGGGCATTCCACGCCCTTACTACTCTCTGAGTAAAGAACCTACCTCTGACATCTGTCCTATATCTATCACCCCTCAATTTAAAGCTATGTCCCCTCGTACTAGCCATCACCATCCGAGGAAAAAGGCTCCCACTGTCCACCCTATCTAATCCTCTGATCATCTTGTATGTCTCTATCAAGTCACCTCTTAACCTTCTTCTCTCTAACGAAAACAGCCTCAAGACCCTCAGCCTTTCCTCATAAGACCTTCCCTCCATACCAGGCAACAT